ATCTTCCCTGAGTCAATGTTTGGATGCGCCATGAATCTGATCTGCTGCCTGGGAACATTTATCTGACCTCCATTCCGAATAAGGATTGAGAAGATTAAAGCTTCTGGCTTTCGTCCAGGTCCATTCTAAGGGGGCGAGATCTATTTTACTTCCATTAAATCTTATGGTTGGTAGCATTATGAGTGGGATATGGTCCGTATAGTAAATAGGAGCCAGCCGATGTGGAATCGCTATCAATGATGTAGGTTAGGGCGTGTCCGAGGAGCGCGGGCTTGAGCGTCGCAGCCCGTTTTGCGTCGATCGTTCTGGCTTCTGGCGTCTAATGAGTGACGAGAAAGGGGCTAAGGCTGCGCCAAGAGCGACTCCCTTCTCACATCAGATGGCACCGTCAACTGATGCCTTGTCTATGAACTGAATCACGGCAGGCTTAGGGCACGTCTTCTTATATTTGACCGGATAAGTGGTGAGCAGCGTCACAATCCATTATATCACCCCCCCCCCCTCTCATGAGCTCGTACATCGCTTATACAATTACTGAAGGCAAAAGATGTACGCGCCAGAGTTTTTCCTCTAAACTTACAATGAGTCCGGTATCGATTACCATATTTCGTTGAAAGAAAAGGATTGACTGGACCAAAAGACACTTTGTTTCCTACTCGTGCTAAGAGTAGTCATCTCCTCGGCTATTTTTCTACCAAGGGAGCCCAACAAGTTCGAATGCGAAATTGAGAGAATCCAGTCTCGAGAAAGTGATGGAGGCAGTTTAACGATTTATTGCTATTTGATATTTCATCACGGAAATTAAAATTTTGATTAATCGCTGTTCGCCCATGTGCCGCTGGTTGATTTCGGGGGGTATGCCTGGTCGCACTTTGAAATCCTATTCTCTGTAATGGTAAATTTCACAAAAATCGCTTAAGCCGATGAAACCGTGACCGATGGCACAATATCGCATCACATGGGCGAGTCAATCCCACATGAAAGGTTTCATTCGAAGAAATGGCTGCCGCAATTTTAATTTCGCAAGAAATGGATAGGCAATCGGCGGAGAGCACAAGATGGCACGACGGTGTGGGCGCCTTTATTTTCATGAATGAATGAGGGATCACAGCTCCTTCCTCGGGGCACTGCTACTCGTGCAATGTGACATTTCTGAAGTGAACCTCTTTAATATTTTGACAAGGAGAGGAAGGGTGATTCAGTAGCGAATGGCACCACTTAATGG